GCGTGGACTTCGCAGAGATGATGGTATTTTCCACGTTCGTGGTCATAGTTAAAGCACGCTTCAAGAGGTAATTCAAAATCTTTTTGTTGTGTTTCATTTGTGATTAATTATTTAGTCAAGATCCGTTCATCGAGATTGTTCCGCTAAGAGGTTAAAATTTTTGAAAAACCCTTCTTAAATTCCAACAGTGAGTTGGTTGGAACTTGAATCAGTGTGAGGATTTGCTGAAGGAATCAAGTTGGCTTGTTTGAGCAAGCACATTAATTGATCATACTTTTCTTGAGTCAAACTTGAAACTTGAGGTTCATGTTGAATCACTTATAATGGTGGATTAGAGTGATGTGATTCACTAGTATTGGTGATGTAAATGTTGGCAGGTTTATTAACTTGTGGATGGTCATGCTTTTGGTAACATAATTCAACTGTGTGTTAGCTGGGATTTTTAGCCATTAAAAGAAACCCAGTAAATAAGGGACGTCTTGGAGTATTCTTGGGTCAACCAAGAATCTGGACTTAGAAGTTTTTTTTTGTCTTGGGAAGCTTTCGACGAAGAAGTTTCATCGACCACGCAGCCTGCGCGGCTGTGACAAAGTGGTCGACGAGACAGTTATTTGGACGCACAGTACCACGTTCAAATATCAATAACTGCCTTAAAGTTTGTTCCTAAAGAGATGCGTGGAGGGATTTTTAAAGAGAAGTTGCAAGCAGAGCTTCACGTGGCGAGATCTGATGGAATAAACATTAGGAGTAGTTATCTTTACACTTATATATATATATATATATATATATATATATATATATATATATATATATATATATATATATATATATATATATATATATATATATATATATATATTAGTTCATTATGTTGAACTAGAGTGTGTTCAATTGTATTACAAAAATCTCATTAAAAACTCAAAGTATCAACGTTTAAGAGAAACGAGAGAATTGATGAGAGGATGTAAGAACATGTGAAACACCACTACTTTCAATGAAATTTGTCTAATTTATTTAATTTATGCTTCATTTCTGTTTCTCTCCTTCTTCATTTTGATTCAAGTTTTTAACTGTTCTTTAAAGTTTGCAGTTTTTTCGCTTTACTGTTAATTTCTTGTACTACACCAAGCTGTCAACTTAGTATCAAACCAACACTTTCCTTCGAACAATTCGAAGTTCATCTATCTAAAACATAAAGAAATCAAAAATAGGGAGATTATTAGGCACAATGTCCTAGGATTCACTGGTTGATCCTACAAGTGACCCATATTTTGGAGACCAGCGGTTGCTTACTATTTTTTAGGATAAACAAATTGGTACACCTAGTAGGACATGTGCTAAGTTTCCTAGTTTGTGATAGAATTCTTTGTTTTTTCTTGATATTTGAAATTAGTAGTCTATTCTTAAGAGAGGTTTTTCTGGGCATTTTGCATGCGATTAAGGAGTTGTAAGGCGCTATCTAGTATGTCATGTCCTCCTGTAGGTAATATTAATCCTCGGAATAACTCTCAAGATGTAGTGCAGTAGTTGGTTGTATCGGTCGTTGAAGAGTCAGTGCTTTCTACGCGAGTTAGAACAACGACTCCACTGATGTCAGCGGCGTCATTTGCAACAATGTTCGTCCCAGGGGACTACACCCCCTCCGCAGTCAAGAAATACCCTTAATAATCTTGCACTTATCACGACCTTTGTTTGGGTTCTCAATGCCACCATCTGGCAGAGATTACCCATATGGTATGCCAACTTCTATGATGGCTAACCTACAACCCACTGTGTCAACCTTTAGTGACAACGCAATGGCCACATCGCCATTATACAATCCCTACAATGCCTCGACGTCGACCATCAATAATATGGCATGACCGGAAGGGATAAATTATATCCCTCAGAATACACCATCTTTGAATACGACTTCTATGATGGCTATGAGACAACAAATGGATGAGAGTAATTTATAATTAGTGAATACTCTCACCCAACAAATGAGAACAATTTTTAACCCATTGATCGCCAATACGAACCAAACTTCTTAAGTGTTAGCAAATCAAATGGGACGTATAGCTGATTTCTTTGGCACGCCCCAAATGCCCATTCGACTGACACATCAGATACCTAACGTTAGGACGATCGAAACCCCTGAGAATGCAACAGAATAAGTAACTGCGGCCCAAACTCAAGAGGTGCAACAAGAATTGCCCTTGAATTGAGAGCGGATAGAGCAAAACAATCATAGGCCTTTGGTTGTTCAAAGAGATCAAGATGATGATCAATTCCTTAGGCAAGTCCAGCGAAACAACCTTGCAGGACAAAACAACATAACAAATGTGGTCAAACAAATCTTGGTCCAAAACGGCCTTAATGTGGGATTTCACTGACCAAACTTTATTTCTCCACTACCTAACTACGTTCGACAGTCAGAACTGCCCAAGAGATTAAAGGTCTCAAAGTTCACTAAGTTCGTTGGAGACACGAATGAGTCGACGGTAGAACATGTCGCTCGATATCAAACTGAGGCTGGCGACTTAGCAAATAATAAGAGTATGAAATTAAAATACTTCCCAAGTTCATCGACTAAGAACGCTTTTACTTGGTCTATGACTCTCCCTCCCCAATCTGTCCAATCATGGAGCTAGTTGGAAAGGCTATTCCATGAGCAATTCTATATGGGACAGGAAAAAAAATTAGTTTGAAGGAGTTAGCAAATGTTAAACGAAAGATTTTTAAGTCAATAGAAGATTATCTAAATAGGTTTAAACTTCTCAAAGACAGGTGTTTCACACAAGTACTCAAACATGAGTTAGTCGATATGGCTGTAAGTGGCCTCGATTATTCAATTAGAAAAAAGCTAAGCACCTAGTATTTAAGAGATATGACACAACTCGCAGATAGGATTCACCAGGTTGAACGCCTAAGTTGAGAAAGTCAGAACTCATAAATACCACAAAAAAGGAGAAAGTTGCTTATATAGATGCAGATGAATATCTTATTCAACCATAGAGTAAACTTTTCTAGAGGCATTGTGATGAAGAAATCGTAGCTGTAAGTATCAAAACAAGAAATTGTTGCAACAGAATAATGGTGAAGAATTGAAAATGGTCATGAATCTATCAAGTTTCAGTGCGAAAACTTGCAAAAATTTGAACAAAAAATCGAAGGAGAAAACAATTGAAATATGAATGAAGAAGGTAATCAATCTTTCTATGAGAGAGCTCTAGATACCATATTATATAAAATCTCTTTTTCATTAGATCGAGTAGGACTATACATGAGATTATTTATACAATATTTTTGTCTAGTATTGTTATGGTTCCCTAGCTATATACAATCATATAAGTTAACTACCTCTGACTAACTATTATGACATGGCATTCAACTTCAAGCTAACTTGGTGCCTTATATAAAAGTTATCTTCACTAATTTGTTACTTACCTGTGTGAGCTTAAATATGGTGAAATAATAATCAAGCACTAAAAACAAAAGCAAATAACAATTAAAAACAAATTAAGTTAAGGGTGATTTCATCATTACATTGTAATTATTCATATTGTTGTGCAAGTTCCTGATATAGTATACGAGTAGATAAACATATGTATTCTAAAAAAAGTTATCAGACAACTTTCAACAGTGACTAGCATAAATTACTGTTGATGCTCACCGAATACCAGTAGTAAAGAGCAGCGTCAGCATATGCTCCTATATGTTTGGAAAATATCAACTCATTTTCACCTCAAGTGGGAAAATATTCCCAATCAAAAGAAACAAGATGATTGGTGGACAAATAATTCACAACATCAAGCGTTCTTCTTTGGAATTTTTCATTTATGTCTGTTTGCTATGTGATATTTTACATTTGCAAACAAAACATCCATCAGCATCATCATGTGCTGACAGATGATATAGATTTGGCCATTATGAATAATGTTTTCTTCAATGAGAATAATAACCACAGTTCTTACAGGACCACATCCTTAAATGTCGGCTGACCAATACTTTAAAACAGGACCACTTGTTTTTATGTACTCTAGATGACTAGCTTCTAGTTGTGATCCTATGTAGTTTGTATTGAGAAACTGAGAAATAACATTTTTGGAAACAAACTTAGTTCAAAGTTGTTTAGTGGTTTAACAAAGTTGTTTAGTGGTTTAACTCTGCGTGTGACCGGGGAAGAGGCTAATGTATACGCAAGGACTTGAGTGAGTAAGAGATAAGCGGATGAGGCTAATGTATACGCAAGGACTTACTACTTTGATGTCAGAGACAATTTAGATTTAGTCGACTACTAGGTCAAGTAATAGTCGTCCGTTCATCCTTGATGGAGTCTATCTTGACCAAATACATGGCCAGCATCACCCCACAAAAGCCATTAAACCCTAAATTCTAAACCCTACTGTTATAAATTAGATAACTAAAGCGAGACTTATAGCAGAAACATTGTCACATGGAAGTTATCTCGGACAAGGTGGGTTTAGTCAAAGAGAGTTGTTAGAGATGGAAGACACACGTGCAGAGTCTGGGATGAATGATCGAGATTAGAGTATGCAAAAAAACATGGGGGGACCAGAGGATAGTTTAATGGGCATAGACTTTTTGGTGGTGGATTTTGTACCGGACCAGAATACTTGGGCAGAGTTGGTGACCATCTTTCTCCGAGCCCGCGCTCAGAGGACTGTATATTGTGAGCTTTGGACTCGACCAAAGTTGGCAAACACTTTCGCTTCTGACACTAATAGATCTACTTCACTGACTCAAACAATTTCATTTTACCAAAATCATAGGAAAAAGAAGATTGCAACGAATATACTTTAATTTGATCTTCCATTAGGACAACAGATCCAAATCATACGACATAAGAAAACAAGACAGGTCCATATGACACTATACCACAGATTGCCGGTAAATTTATAAACTAGGGTATTTCTTAATTAACACATATCAATGACATTCATAGCCCACCTCCTTCAGAGGGAAGAATACGACCCGTCAACCTAAAAGACGACAAATCAGGGCTCATCTAGCTGGTCCTACAAGAAGTAAAAGATAGCTTAACTCAGATTATGATCAATTTGACGCAATATTAAGACAGATAAATGTTCTGAAAAGGGTAAGTTTTATATATTAGAAACATTTTACCTGGACATCAGAAGTCCAAAGGGTGAGGTTGTCTCTCAAAAGTTGCATTATAAGTGTGCTGTCTTTGTATGATTCTTCTCCCAAAGTGTCCAGCTCAGCAATTGCTTCCTCAAAAGCCTATCAAAAAGGAAAAGAAAATTGATAGATTTTAGAATCAATAAGCTGTGTTCCTGCTGCAGTACTTAGTACATTACAAGCCAAAACATGAACAGAAAATAAGAGAAAGACACAGAAGGAATAACATATGTCAATATTAAGTTCATTGTTCATCCACATCAGCTAAAACGGGCACAAAAAGGAAAGAACTAGGAACTATTTAAAGATCCAGAGTCTAAATCATTGGATGAAAAACATCAAATAGTTTTTATTTGAAGTTCTGTAAATCAGATTTCAAAAGAAAACTCAAAATTGAATTGTCCCATCTTCGTCCAACGACAAACTCTATGCAATAGCTGAGTATAATTTTGACAACAGCGAATCCGTTCCCCAATTTTATCGATTCAGTATGGAAGTAAAACATACGCCCAGTCAAACATATTGTAATCAAACTGAGTACAATCTGGGTTGAAAATTGCTCAACAAAAACAAGGTAAAAAATATTGTAATCCTTGAACTAACACATTAACATGAGAAAGTTATTGCAAACCAATCAAAAAACAATATAAATAAACAAGATCAATTAACACAAACCTGTTTGGCCATGGCACAAGCTTTGTCAGACTGGTTGAGAATTTCATAATAGAAAACTGAGAAATTGAGAGCCAAACCCAATCTTATAGGATGAGTAGATGGAAGATCAGCAGCAGCAATATCCTTCAAAAAACAAAACATAAAACAATTAACAACAATTAATTAACTAATTAAATTAATCTTCCAAACAGTAAAAAATTAACAAAAACATTAAAAAAACACAAACCTGTGCAGCCTTGTAAGACAACATAGTATCCTCAGCAGCAGATTTTCTCTCATCCCCAATCTTAAACTCAGCCAAATACCTATGATAATCCCCCTTCATCTTATAATAAAAAACCTTCGACTCACTCGAAGAACCCGAAGGTATAAGATTCTTGTCCAACAGCTCCAGAATACTAGCACAAACATTCGACAACTCCGATTCAACTTTAGATCTATAATCCTTAACAAGCACAACATGGTCCTCATTCTTCCTACCTTCTTCCTTCTGCTCAATCGACGAAACAATTCTCCACGCCGCACGTAGCGACCCGATCACGTTCTTGTAAGCGACGGATATTAGGTTCCTCTCTTCGACGCTGAGCTCGGAGGAGGGTGTGGACACTAGCACTAGCTTCTGCATGAAGGATACCATCTCTTCGTAGCGTTCTGCTTGTTCTGCAAGCTTGGCGAGGTACACGTACTGTTCTCTGGTTAGGTTTTCTGGAACGGTGACACCCATTTTTGTTGTTCGGTTTTTTTGTGTTCTGTGTGGTGTTTTTCTAAGGTGTGTGTGACTGTGTTTGAGACGATACCGATATGAATGAATGAATGAACAGAATCGAATAATGTATATAATAATATAAGTTATTATAATAATAATATAATTTGATTATTTTAATCATATTTAATATAAGTATTATGATGTGTGGACAGACAAAAAATAAATAAAAGTTATGATGTGTGGGATTGAGCTGTCTTGTCCCTTTATCATCTCATCTTTATGACCTGTGTTTTTTATTTTTGAATTATTTAAATCAATAAATTTTTTTTATGTTTAATTAGTTAAGAAGTCTTTTAATTTAATTTTAAATTTTACTTTAATTTAAATTTGTCTCTTAAAAATAGTTTTGTTAGCCAAATTAATTTATTTGTTAAATATTTTAAAAGAAAAACGTTAGCTTTGGGATGATGTGACATGACAACATGATAAAAGTTAAAATAGTGAATTAATAATTTAAATAAGATACTAAATTAAAATGTTATAGTTATTTAAAGGATCAGACCATGTCAGTTAATCAAACTCTGATTAAAGTGACTAAATCAAAATTTTATAACATTTTATCCGATCATAACCTATTTTTTATCCTACTATAATTTCATATTAATATAATTTTAAATTTAATGACATTATGTTCTGATTTAGCATAAGGTGTACATACACACAATTAAAAAAATGTGTACGCAAACACTACTATAAAAGATGTAGACAAAAGATAAACACATTTATGGTGGCCTATGAATATGTTTTAGCCATTTTTCAAACCTTCTTTTCTTCTTTGAAATTGATTAAACTGAAAAGAATGATGGTGTACATTGTGTTGGTATTGCTTAATTTTGTGTTGGTGCATGTGAGATGTTCGGCAACAGAGATGCGTTCTTCAATGTCATCCATTTTCAACTTACATAATGTGATTAATGTCGTGCAACAAGCCAAAACCATTCTGCCAAAAACATTATATATAGTATATTCAAGTGACAAGAAATGCTCAGAAAATCACTCATCTCATTTTTGGGAGGATAACCTATTATTTGTAACAAATATCAATTTTATACGTTGAATATTGTGCAAGAAGTGTTTGTATTTGTTGATGAATTCAACAAAGCCTGCTCTGTAATTGTGGTTGCAGCTGGGTAGAATTTTTAACTACTTGAGAATAAAGCATTACAATGTTATGACAATAATCATAGGGATTTAAAAATAAGAAAGTCAAAGCTTCATGTTGATTGATTTGGTATTCCATTTCATAAGAATCTTATTGTCTCCTCCACGCAATGCAAGAACTAATAAAGCGAAAGTTTTAATATATATATATATATATATATATATATATATATATATATATATATATATATATATATATATATATATATATATATATATATATATATATATATATATAACTTTGCTCACATCAATATGGTTCTTCTTTTTCACTCATACTTTCACACTGAGAACTCTCTTTGTCAACAAATTTGTTGAAAAATATAAGGGTCTGTTTGGTTGGGGGTAAATGGAGGGGAGGGGACGGAATATTTAATAACTTATGTGTTTAGTTCAAATTTTAAGAAGGGGAGGGGAGGTAGATGGAGGGAACCAAAATCCCTCATGAACCACTTTTTGCTTTCCTCGATTTGGAGAGATTTGGAGGGGAGGTGCTTGATTTTAATTATAATTATATTTACATATTTATCCTTATTATTTATTTAAATATAAATTTAACTTATAACAATGTTAAAAGTTTTATTTTGAACAAATTTAATCTTTCTTTTTATATTTTTTGTATTTTTATATCTTCATCTTACTATCATTATATTTGTTTAAATTTTTTATTTTATTTTTCATATTTTAATGTTAATTTTAGTTATCGTAATGTTTTTGTTTATAATAATAGGGGGATCAAAACTGTAATTTAGTCAATCATATATTATAATCGTTGCATTTTTATAAAATATTTCATGATGATCTCCGATTGAATATTTATATTTCGTCAATAAATTTGTATTTGAATTATAAACGGTAAATATCACAAGTCTTATGGTAAAATTAGAAGGATAAAAAAGTAAATTAGTTTTAAAATATCTCCCATCCCCTTGTGAACCAAACATATTTGTAAATAAAATGTCTCCCCTCCCTTCCCCTCGATTGAACCAAACAGACCCTAAAGGGAACGCATAATAATGGTTCAAAATATAAAATAAAGGACATCTATACTTTAATTCATATATAGCTTAAAACTAAATTAAGTTTTAAAAAATATCAACAAAAAATATATCTTAATTACTTGATGTATGTTGATGAGCATAGAATTGACAGAGATAGTGAAAAACAATGTTATACAAAACAGTATTCCAACAAATACCTAATTCAAGAAATTCTTCAAACACCTTAACTGCAATCACAAAACAGCAAAAACTCATGATTATAAATCTAAAAAATTTTGATTTTTTTCCCACAAAGAAAATCCTAAAATCCAAAAAAAATAAAACTAAACCTACCATTGAATCACCAGGTAGAATTGAAAGAAAAAAAATAGGCATAGCTTTGAGATCTGAAACAAAAACAAAAACGTTAGATCTAAGTCTCACAAAACCAGTACACAATCAGGCTCACGACCATTCATTCGTACTCATCAAATTTGAGCAGATGGAGATGGTCGTTGAAAAGGTCAACAAAATCAAGTTTTAGAAAGACAGGGAGAAATAAGTGAAAGAGGTGGTGACTAGGGTTTGAGAAAGAAAGGAGAAATTTCTTCATACATTATATGTTTCAGCTTCTTTTATTTTTAAATTTTAAATCAGTATAAAATAAAATAATTTCATGTCATCTAATGTAGAACCAGTTGGACTACCACACATGCACAACTTAACATAATTTGACAAAATTAACGGACAAGACTAATATGACTAACATAATGACATTTAAGGGACTAAGAACAAATATTTATTAAATAAGGGACTAAAATGAAACCTTAAGTTAAGTTAAAGGATCAAATGATGCATTAAACCAAGAAAAACATCTATATATCCATCTCTAAATTAACTTCTTATCAATTACTACTTCAGTCCTTATTTATAAATAAATAAAAGATAATTTTCACGCTTATTAAAAATCATAGTTTAAGTATATTTAATTTTCTTGAATTCATGTAAAAGAAATAACATAATTACCGATCTTGTTAAAGTTTTATGTCAACATGTTGCACTATTAGTGCAACCGGTTACATCAGGAGTCTTTTTGATTAATATTGGAATAGAAGCAAAGTGCAACCGATTGCAGTAATAGTGCAACCGATTGCAGTAATAGGGCAACCGATTACACCTGGAAATTTTAGTTTTATTGTTAGTTAATTGTACCTAATCTATTGCATTGTTGTATAAATACTTTTGGAGTATCTTGTGAGAAAGTTAATGAGAAAATCATTATACTTTTCACCCTCAATTACTCTCTCTCATTCTCTCTCTCATTCTCCATCTCTATACTCAATTACTCTATATTTTTTTCACCAACATTGTGATTCTAAGTTCTAACATTTGTCATCAAGAGCCCGATTCAATCCATCAAACACCTTGTGTGTAATCATGAATTCAGAATCCAATGAAAGAATCCATGTAAACTTATATATATATCCTTGATATGAAGAATTAAGACAAATGATGCAAGAAAATAAAGGTTTTATTTGGATACCAAGATGCTTTTGAAGTGATCAAGAACAGAGTGAATTCTTCAGTCGAAGTTGCAACAGATGCACAATGAGCAACGAATAAGGAAGAAAAGAAGAAAGATTTCAAGGCGTTGTGTTTGATCCATCAATACATGGATACATACAACTTTGAGAAAGTTGATGATTGTGAATCATCGAAGAAAGCGTGGGAAATCTTGGAGAAAGCATATGTAAGGGATAACAAGGCGAAGGTGGTGAGGTTATAAACTCTCAAACGTCAACTTGAATTGATTCAAATTGAAGAGAATGAGACCATCAACGATTTTATGACAAGAATTATAGGTTGGTGAACCAAGTAAAAGCATATGGAGAAACAATCACAAAGCAGTATGTTACCGTGAAAATCTTGTGTTCTTTGACGACAAGATTTGATAACCTAATCGTAGCAATTCAGGAATCGAATGATCTTACGACAATGAGTAAAGAGGAGTTGTAAAGCTCTCTTGAGTCACATGAGCAGAGAATGGAGGAAATAAATGTTTATGAGGCAAAGACAAAGATAACTTTTCAAGCCCATTTCAACGAGAGAGACAAGAAGGCGAAGGGAAAGTGTCCCATGAACAAAGGTAGAGGAGACTTTTAGAATTTTGGTGGAAGGGACTCCCAAAATTTCAAAAATTCAACATTTTAAAAGGGTGACAACGATTGTAGTAGGGTTGCTGGATCAAACAACTCTAGAGGAGGTTATGAAAAAGGTAGAGGTGGAAGAAGAATGGTTGACCAGAGTAGCGTGTAGTGTTTTAATTGTCAAAATCTTAGTCATTTTGCAAAAGAGTGCAATTCCAACAAGAATGAACCTCAAGAAGATGAAGCTAGAGTTGCAAGACAAAAGTTTGATGAGAAAAACACATTCTTGGTCATGATCACAAAGGGAGAATGCAGCAACAACATGTTGCACGACATCAGTAGCTTAAAAAATGCCACAGAACTAAAGTGCAACCAATTGCACAACTATGGCAATCAGTTACATACTGAAGAAAGTGTAATGGTGACTTTGGAAGAAGTAGTGCAGTGCAGCGATCAATATTATATTGACTCTGGGTGTTAAACGCATATGACATGTAGAAAAGATTACAATCAATTGTTCCATGAAGAACAAAATGAAGTTTGTGGATGATACCACTCTAATGGTGGAAGGGACCAGTGATGTATCAATCAAGAAAAGAGATGGTAGACATTATTTGATCAAAGATGTGTTGTACAATCCCATAACCGATTGTAACCTTCTAAGCATTGC